AGTCTAAATATGGCAAATATGGCAAAACTTCAGCAATGAAGTTTGCATCAAGTGGAACAGGACCCATTTCTGTAGACTTAAAAAAAAAAAGGCTGTCAGTAGCAGAAATGAGATGCCATAAGGACTGTTTCGTATCAAGCTTAGTTTTTTTTTTTTTTTAATGCTAACAGCAGCACTTGGGCTGTTGCTGAAAAAAATATCCCAGCCTGGAATATAAAGCAGGTTCATGAACTATATCCAGAGTATATTTCACTGCAGTTTTGGGAGGGGAAAAAAAGCTTCTCTTTTTTTAAACTGAGACAGGAATTTGAACAAATGTGTTCCCAAAGCAAATTGACAAAACAAAAGACTGGTTGATTTTTACATTTTTGACAATGACACACTGCATAATGGTTATAACTGTTTAATTCTCAATAGCTTGGTACAAAGGCACTATGTAGGCATATACAAACATAACTGTTTTCCCCCAAAACCAACACGTATTAAAGGCACAAAATAACATTCAGATATTCTGCTCTCAACCCTTCAAGACCCATTTTGTCATTAGCTTTAGGGGTCAGCATAACAAGTTGCAGTCTTCCCTCAATCACACACTGGACTATACACATTCCCTGCAGCAAAGTATTTATATAGATTCCAAATTAATATGCACTTTTCAAGATGAAAGTTGGCTTATTCGTTCACTGGTCATCTTCTTGGTTCATATGACTATCACGAGAAGATTCCCGCTTTGGGGACAACGAGTTGTACTCAGTTATAATCTTCAGAAGAAGATGTAATGGGATAGAAACAGAATCTTTGTATTTGCAACCCCCTGAAATCTCTTTCAGCAAACTGGGGCACGCTGTGGAGTCTATCTGGAAGCCCCACTAACACATATGACGTTCACTGCATGAATGGAAGTCTATTAGTGCAACTAATTATGGTGAAAGAATTAACATTATGGCTGTTTTAAATGATAATGACTATTTTGTGATTTTTTTTCCCCCAGGCTGCTGTGTGTTTTAATTTTTTGCATATGTATTTTTTTATTTACTTTTTATTATCATTAGCTACGCAAAATAAAGTATTTGAGATGAACGGCCATAGAAATCAATCAAATAAAACACTTTAAGCTAACAAGCATAAAGTCGAGACAGGGCTTGCATCTTCAGCTTTCCAAGAAAGCACTAAAATCATTGGCTGAATTCTTCAAATCCTGGCCTAGCACAAGGGCAGGCAGAGAAAGAACACTGAATGCAACTATCGTCATAAAGTTGTCACCTGATCAGAGAAGGAAACAGAGCAACAGATGGGTAGGGATTTGCAGAGATAAAGAGGAAGGTTTAGGAAAAAGATATGTTTTTTTATTAGGCATGATACCTACAGTAGATTACAATGAGGGCTCACTGCTGGAGCAAAAGCTTTGTTTCAAAGTTAATAATAATTTAAGTTCCTTAATAAGTACTGACTTGCCAAATATCATCCAGAGAGAACTAAGTATTGATTATTCATGTTATGTTCTAAGCAATAAATGTTGTGAAGCATGCTTCGCACATTACGTATAGGCAAACAATTCACTACATTTATTTTCACAATGTAGAGGTAAATGGGCATGACTGAGGCAATCACTCCTTATTATCCATAAATGCATAGTGTAGATATCTAAATTACTCAGAGACAAATGGACAGGATCACCTTGAGCCCTCCCTAGTGATAGCTTGTTAACAAATACCATTTGCAAAATACTATTTTCGGTTTTGTGCCCCCCATTATGGGTTTTCTATTCATGCCAATTGTTATTTTCCAGGCACTTCGCTTGAAATTCTCTGATTGGGAGAATAAAAAAGGGAAGTATTTAATTGTAGGCATGAATTTTATTTTCAACTTGGATTATCAGCACAGAGCAATATTTTTTTCAATTATACTACTTTTATCTTTTGTTTACTGCATTAGATTAGCTTGTCTTCAATTTCCTTCAATAAGGAAATAAAATTCAAGCTGTGCTTGAATTAGGAATAGAAAATAGTACATTTTTATACACAAAAATAATTTGATACTTCTAGTATAAACACATATACTCCATAGTTAGTTATAAAAATTAACAGTTAGAAGCTTCTAACTGACCTTGCCTGACCCCAGGATCATATGAGGAAGGAAGTTGACCAGATAATTCCAGAAGTTTAAGTAGTAAATTCAGATTTGAAAAAGCATCCTGGAAGAACTTTTATAAATCATTTCTAAGAAAACTTAACAACTGTGCCCATGAAGACACCAAATGTTCATTCTGGTTTGTAGACTCTTAGAATATCTTTCTGCATAAGAAATAGCATCCAGCCTCAGAACAGAATCTTCTGATCATTTCCACCTGGAAATTCTAAAGAAATGGGAACCCTTTAGAGGAGTCTTTGGTATAAAGCAGTGGTTCTCAACCTGTGGGTCGAGACCCCATTTGGGGTCGAACGACCATTTCACGGGGGTCGCCAAACAACGCCGTCCGCCATTTTTTCCCCCTTTTCCTTAGCTGTGCTACTCCCTTTTATTCTATTGGCTTTTGAAAGCCAATAGAATAGACTCTCTTGAATAGAGTCTAATTCTATTGGCTTTCAAAAGTCAATAGGAATTGTCCAGGCTGTCTCTGCCCTGCCGAGCCCGCCAAAAGTCCCAGTCTGCAAACGGTGCTGCACCAGTTGAGTAGTCCTCGACTTACGACCGGTTGAGTAGTCCTCGACTTACGACCGGTGGGGGGTCGTGGCATTAAAAAGGTTGAGAACCACTGGTATAAAGGCATAAGTGCAAAAGAGAAACAAGAGGGAAATACCCATACAGTCTGCTTCTGTAATATGGATGCAATCTACCACCTTCTGATCTCCAGATACATTAAATGCTTTTCTCTAAATATAATAAATAGCAGTAAAGAGAATTAAACAATACAAATACCTGTTCTTCCCTTTCAAAATAGGACAGTGTGATTTTGTCACTTACCTTCAAAAATATATTCATAACTGGAAACTAAATCATTTCTTAGAATAGCTCATCAACCTAGTTCAGGTAAAGCTTTTATTGCATTATTGTCCTGCCACATTTACAAAGTTTTATGAAGGTCCAAATATTGTTGTGCCCTCATTTTTAACTATCCTATTTCCCCACCAATATTTTTTATTTTTATTTGTTATTATTATTATTACTATTATTATTATTTTCCAAAGCGCCTGAAGGCAGGACAAGAAGCAATGGATGGAAACTAATCAAGAAGAGAAGCAACCTAGAACTAAGGAGAAACTTCCTGACAGTTAGAACAATTAACCAGTGGAACAACCTGCCTCCAGAAGCAGTGAATGCTCTAACACTGGAAGTTTTTAAGAAGAGACCGGATAGCCATTTGTCCAAAATGGTATAGGGTTTCCTGCCTGAGCAGGGGGTTGGACTAATGACCTCCAAGGTCCCTTCCAACTTTATTATTGTTGTTGTTGTTGTTCTTGTTCTTGTTATTATTATATCATCCCACAGTCAGCCAAATTTTCAGACTGGGTTTGGCATTTTTGTCTACCTACTGAGTCCTTACCAAGGACCTGGGATAGGTAGATCTGGATGGTGTTACAGATATCGTCGCAGGATGGAAGCTCTTCCCAATAAGGCCGCCTTTTGCAATTGACTGATGGCAAATTTGTCAATGCCAATGGTGTTTAAGTGGTTCTCCAGTTGTTTTGGGATTGCACCAAAGGTACATATTACTACTACTACTACTACTACTACTACTACTACTACTACTACTACTATCACACAATATCTTTTCATTGTAGTGTTAAAAACTCTGTGTGGAAGCATTCCATTTTTCTGACCACAATTAAAGAACAACATATTTTCACATTCTGCTGCACTTCACTCGAAGCAGCAAATGTTTGAACATTTCTATTCTTGTCGACCACTTTTGAAACTAACTCTTATCATGTGAGGTGATAAATTACAGAGCACAGAGATTTTCACTTAGGAATACATTTTCCATACTGAGATTAGGGCAGCAGTTTTTCTAGCTAAAATCTACTCTATAAAATCATATGTCATTTAATAATGATCATTAAATCAAATTAAAAACCATATCATCAAATACTTCTGGAAGCAAGAGGGTTAATGTTTTTATATTAAATATTTGTTATTTGGTTACTAACTTCTACTTTTACATTAAACAATTAATTACATTATTCAAACAACTTTGGCTGCAATGAATTTTTCAAACAGTAGTGCCTGATATTCTAACTTCATGCTTTCAATATTCATGTACAAAACAAACTCTACCCAAGATATCAGCTAATTTTTTTTAAAAAAAAGGAACTTCAAAGTAACAATGAGATTTTTTTAAAAAAAATGCCACAATACAATCCAAACATGCAAAAATAAAAATAGTTCATTGAGAACACAGATTTTCAGCTATCAGCTTATATTTCAGACCACCCGCTTACTTTTAGGGTGTCTCAGAGGCTACCTTTCTTCTTTATTCTGTGTCAAAATAATTTAATAAATATTAGGCTAGAAATGAACTAATCTGAACTGGTCATTTGTCATAAGAGTTTCTAAGCAATTTGTGCCTTTTCTATATTCTAAATTCTTTCTCTACTGGATGTTCTAAGACCGGGAATTCTCATTTCCTGGATTTTGGAGAGGGATTAAAGGCAACATTGTACAATAGGCTTCAAGGTGACAGAACAAACCTGTTTAATTCCCCAAACCCATTAGTGAAATTAAATGAGTTTGTGAATGAATTTTGGAAAAACTGGAAACTGGAAAAACTTAAGAAAAATTAAGAACTTTGAAAAGATACATGATTCCTTAAGGCAGGAGTTCTCAACCTTGGCAACTTTAAGACTTGTGGACTTCAATTCCCAGAATTCCTCAGCTGAGGAATTCTGGGAGTTGAAGTCCATAAGTCTTAAAGTTGCCAAGGTTGAGAACCTCTTCCTTAAGGAAACAAAAGGTGGTAGCTGTGATCTTGTTGAGTGAACATGTCTTTGTAAAGTTCCTACCTCTCAGTACGGACTTCAGATTCAATTTGGCTTGACGATGCAGCTCCTCTACGCAGGGCGGCCTGCTGGATGGTAAGAAGACATTCTCCTGCTGATGCCAGGGCGCAGTATAATGAACTGTCCATCTACTCTCTTCATCTAGATTGGAGACAGCTGTAAAAGAGCAGAAAGACAAAGGTAAATTAAACACTGTGTTAAACACTAAAAGTTAAAAGAATGAAATCACTTGATAAACTCAGAGAAATGAAAGGAGTAATAACAACCATTTTGATTACTCACTCTGTTTTATGTAGGTAGAAAGGCATTTATGTGGTTTGCTACAACACAGTAGCCCAATAGTTCGAAAAACAACATAAAGTATTCACGTAATGTTTTAAAAAATATTTTATTTTTTATTCCCTTATGGGTTTATTTATGGAGCTAATATGAGACTCCAACTGAAAGTGACAGAGTATCTTATAACTTCCCGATATAGTTTTCTTTAAAAAAATGAACACAATATAATAATATACAACAAAACACAACATCAGCACAATCAGCAGCAAGCAATAACACACTTCAAAAATGAAACAAAGACTCAAATAATTTCCCAAAGACCCCTTGGAAGACCCAGGACTTAACATAGTATAGCAAAGCTCAGTCTGACCTCAGGAATATGCATTAGTGTTGTACAACGCTAATGGAGTAGAGTTGTGATTTAAAAGGATATGTAGCAAAATGTATTAGTGCAAGCAAAGTATTGAGGTAGCCAGCATCTCTGGAAGTCTTAGCATTTAGCAATTGTCTCTGCATATTTGTGCATGTATAGTCATTTGCTTCCCTGGGAAAGGAAGACGTAACTAAGGACAGATGTAAAAAACTTCTGGAACAGCTTGCTAAAATATTAGAGGAGAGAGTTCAGAATTGTTCTTTCTGACCAAAGAATTCCACAAACAGAAAGAAGGCTCTGACCCAGACCCTCATTTACATAAACTTCTCATTTACATAAATTCATGAAAGGAGTAGACAAGTCAACCTCAGAGGACAAAAACACAGAAGCAGAAGGAATCTCTTGGGACCCAAGCCATTTAGATAGAACTTTAGGATTAAAAACCAGCCTTGAGCGGTATAAAAGGAACCCTCAATTATTTATTTAGTCCCCCCCTTTCTTCACTAAAGAAATGAAAATGCTTGCACAAATAACTTCAGATCTGGGTCTTCCAAACGTGGGACACCTTTCTATTGGATCCCACTTTGTCTGACTTTTACAATTTGCTTAAAACTTCCGGAGGGCATTTTGGGTTGATTCTATCTTTGGTTATAATTTGGCTGTTAATTTCATTTTATTCTACACTTTTATTGGTTTGTAAAGTGTTTATTTGTGTGCTTTTATTGTATAAAGTTTCTTTGGTGCTTTATATTGTAAACTGCAAGCTCCTTAAGGATTAAGTGTTTATAAATGTAATTAAATAATTACAAAATGATTCAAAAGAATAACATATTCCAAGGGCAGATGAATGTAACTTTAAAACAGGCAGGAAAAAGTTTTTAGCCTGCTTTAAAAGGTCTATAAAGAACAGCTTGTTTGAGGTCTAAATGAAACTTCCACAAGAGTTTCCCAAGTTAAAATCTCCTTTGAGTTAGACGTTTGCCTGCCTCATCTCAACAACCTCCTAAAAGTGTGAGACACATAGCGGTGTTTCCAATATTGAACACAGCAAGCAGGCAGAGAACTAAATAGATAATTAAATCCTCCAGATAATCTGTTCCCACACTGCTCAAGTGTGCTGGAAACATTTGCGCTTCCCTCTGGAAGATGCTAGTGGGGCAGTTCTAAATGTAAGGGCTTCTGTGCTGTGAAAGGCTGCTGGATCCTTACCAATTTCTTCTGGCAAGACTTAAGATAGAAATACTTCAGTGATTAATTTTCCCAATACCGAACTGGAGTGGAGAGGCAGACATTTTTCTAGTTAGAACAGGCAGATGAAGAATGGGGACAAAAACTTCAGGAGAATGGATTGGGAGCAGCTCCAAAGCAGTTCCATCCTTTTCTATATCTCAATACTTAGTTAATTTATCTCTACCCTCCTCCCTTCTTCCCTCCCAACAAAGTTCTGGACAGCCCATAGTTGCTAGAACTCAGCCCATATGATTGCCAGGTAGACCAGGAAAACACAGCACAAATGATATTTCCATCTAGAGCTTGCCACAGAAACAGAACTTTGCCAACAGAGAAGGATTACATAAAGCCCTTGTGGAAAGGGATAGTATGATCAAATAAGAAACCACAGATCATCCTTGATTTACAACCATTTGTCTAGTGACCATTCCAAGTTACAACAGTACTTAAAAGAATGGTTTATGATTATTCACTGCACTTATGACTGTCACAGATCCCCACAGTCATGTCATGAAAATTGGGGAGCCTGGCAACAGGCGTGCCTTTATGACGATTGCAGCAAGCTGGGGTCATAATCACTACTTGCAATCTTCTCAGGCAGCTTCCAACAGGCAAAGTCAATGGAGGAAACTTGATTTGCTTAATGACTGCGTGATTCACTTAACAACTGCAGTGATTTGGTTAATAATCGTTCCAAAAAGGTTGTAAAATTGGGCACTAAATAAACTGACTTGCTTAGCAATGGAAATTCTGGCCACAGTGGTGGTCATAAGTCAAGGACTACTTGCATAAAGATACTGCTTATGTAATGATTTACAAATATTACATTTTCTTTGTAAATACAATAATGAAGAGACAGAATTCTGCCTTCATATGGTCTTCATATAAGATGAGTTCTGGAATTCCTTGTTTCCTTGGATGACACTATAGGTTTTTTTGTTTGTTTGTTTGTTTTGCACAAGTGCTTTCTTTATCTTCCTGGTTTGCTAAAATAGAAGAGCCCAACTAAGGTTCCATATATGTACTAAAAAAAATGCAGGTATGCCCTTCACAAAGATCCAAAAGTTGATATAAACTATAATTTTTGTGAAGAAGTTATTAGATGGCATGTGTGTGTGTTGTGTGTTTGTATGCGTATGCATTCAAATAAGTGAATAAAATTTTATAAAGTGTTAAAAATTACTAATCCCTTCAAAATCAGAAAGGGGTTGATTCACTTGACCAAATGTTGGATGGTATTCCTCTTAAAAGGCACATTCAAAACTGAGCAGCCGTCTTTTATTGCAGGGGTCCCCAACTTGTGGGCCGTGGCCCAGTCCCAGGCTGCGGGCTCTTGGCCAGCAGGCTATGGAAATGGCTGGCCAGTGTGCACACGCACTCCCCCCACTCACATTAGCATCTGTAGCCCCGTTTTTGCATGCGCACGGGCACGAACAGAGACGTTAGCATGGGGTTGGTATCCGTGCTCCATTTGCACATGCACCACTAGCCTGGGTGGATTGTGCGGCCCATTCGTGTATATGGCCGTTCGTGCATGCACATGGCACTAGCACATGCTATATGCACGAACAGGCTGCTAGTGCCGCCCCAGTATGCATGTCTCATGCGAGCATGCACTGATTCTGAAGCTACTCTCCTTCCCTCCGATCCGCGAGCCCGGAATGGTTGGAGACCTCTGTTTTATTGGTCTTTATTAACAAAGCACAAATTATTATATAACTACAGGTAGTTCTTGACTTACAACAGTTCATTTAGTGATTGTTCAAATTTACCAAGGTGTTAGAAAAAGTGACTTAGGACAGTTTTTCACATTTATGACTATTGCAGCATCCCCATGGTCATGCGATCAAAATTCGGAATGCATGGCAACTGGTTCATATTTACAACAGTTGCAGTGTCCCAGGGTCATGTGTTCATCTTTTGACAAGCAAAATCAATGGGGAAGCCAGATTTGCTTAACAACCATGTTACTAACTTAACAACTGCAATAATTTACTTAACAACTGTGGCAAGAAAGGGCGTAAAATGGAGCGAAACTCACCTAATACATGTCTGACTTAGCAATACAAATTTTGGGCTCAGTTGTGGTTGTAAGTTGAGGACTATCTGTATAATGGAATATATGCTGAGAAGTTGCGTAGGTAAATAATAACACAATTAGTGGGAAACCTGTCTGCATTTTTTTCACCACAATAACCAACCGTGATAAATGACCTGACCAAAAAAGTCTTCCCTTTCAGTCTGGCTACAGTATTTTGGCAAACCTATGAATACGACCGTTTGCCCTTAAGAGTTCTTCATGCACATCTTACTAATGGGAGTCAGCAAGATCTGCTTGAGGAATTCTAAGGTCATCCTCATTTATTACACCATATATTACCAGGACCATCTCATGCAGCCAGGTAGATCATGCTGACACAATGCTTGGCTGCCTTCTTTAGCCTTGCTGAAGAAACCCCACCCCCACCTCCCCAAATAATGAACAGAAAGATGAGCCCATCTACCTGACACTTCAATCACTTTCAATCTCTACCTATAATGAAGAATGGATGAAACAACTGCGAGGGAGAAAACAAATGGGAGAGAAAGTCACAGATGCTGAATACAGAATTAAATTAGACTTGCCACACAAATGCTGAGAGCAGGATTATTGCCAAGTTTCCTTTCGAGTTAAATGCAGAGTACCTTTGTTAAAATATATATTTATGCATAACTATTAGCCAATTAAAACAATTTGTGATCTTAAATAAGGGCTGCTTGAGCATCGGATTAGACTGAAACCCTTGAAATATATCTATGATAAGTTTGGAGAAAGTAACAAAACCAAGCAAAGGGATCCTGCAGTAGTTTTGCATGAGCACGGTGCTATAAGGACTATACAAGCTTTCAGCTGGTTAAACATCTCTATACAATCAACTCTTGCCTGTATCAAGTTTCTTTCAAGATTACTATTGCATCAAAAAGCCTTTCTCCTTTCTCCATGGCAATTCAGGCACACAAAAGAAAATGAGCAAGCGGCAATTCCAAACTTCACAAGCTCAACAAAAGCTAGGGCAGGTGCTTAGGGCACTGTTTAATAAGCTGCCTCCACACAATATCAAAGCTCAGTAAACTAAACAATGCTACTATGTACAGTTGGAGAAATAAGAGCAGGTTATGTAATGGTTTTGTAATGTTTCTGCCAAAAGTCTAAACAGATTTTTTTTTTTTTTTAAAAAAAGCCTACTTACTCTTTTTCTTGAAAAACTGTATTAAGGCTTTGAGCTTTGTATTG